TCTTCTCTGCAGAAGAGAAAGGTCAACAATCAGAAGAAAACAAACTGAAATTTATAAAAACTGTAAGTGCAATAATTTTAAGAAACACATTGATATGAAATAAAACTTAGACTGTGAGAATGCAAATATAATCTTTATAGAAAGTATTTAGTTTTGTGCTTTTTTTACTTACATTGATCAATTAAAATTTGAGTTTATTATTATTTTGTGTGTGTGTGTGGCTGGCCAATATGGGGGTCCAAACCCATGACCTGGGTGTTACCAGCTGAGTTTATTAAATAAATTATTTTCTATATTATTTAAAAGTTCACATAGAATAACTGCAAAACCATTCTGTTGCAATTAAAAAATAATCATAAAGACAATATGAAAGGACAAGAAATGGGTTTGTATATACTTCAGATACTGCTGCAGAAGAAAGTGTGCAATCATTTTCTCCAGGTCTTCACGAGGAAGTATGGGAGGAACAACACCTGGCACTCTCAATTTTGCTGCACCCTTTCCCATCCAAGAATCAATCAGTTTCAATGGAGTGAGTTTTTCATTCAGTTCCTCTGCCTGCTTCAGGATCTTGATTAGATCTCTGCAGAACTCTGTTACATTCTTTCTTTCGAATGCTATGATGAAAGAGACATGGTTACATACAGGCAGCTGGAATTAGAAATGAGGGCAAGGGATAGGCTGATCCTAGGTGGCTAAACTGGTATAAAACCAGTGAGCCACTATCAATGTGAGCCACCCTAAACATTGATTTTTTTTCTTTAATGTGTTCTGAATTAAGACTAGGCTATTCCTTGTCTCTATCATTAGCAAATTATAGTCTCTCTAAGACATTGTGGAATGTACAGTGATATAAAGAAAATAACTTGGTTATTAGAAGGCCTGTGGTGTGCTCTACCAGACATGACTGACAAGAACCAGAAAGTGTCTACCAGACATGACTCTGACAGTTACTAAGAGGTGCACTTTATAGGAGAGCCAGTCTTTTCTTCAAACACATATCTGATTTGTGCTCATGCAGTCAGTAACCCAGAAACAGCTCTGTGTGGGTTTTTTTACTTACACGGTAATAACATGTGCTCTGAAAATTAGTATGGGTTTCTAGGTACTCTAACTTAGGGACAAGAATGTCCTGGACAGTTACTCCCTAATAAGAGACTAGCACTCAAATATCAGACTCCTGATATTTGATACTTGGTCAGTATAAGATAGTCTAATAAATTCATAAATAAGTTTTCTCTGGCTGCAAAACTAGAAGTGTAGTGACCTCCACCCACCAAGGCACTGGAACTCAGTGAAGCCTTGCATGAGGAATAGCTAGTCCAGTTCTTCAAATCCACGATGTACACACAGGATGAAAAAAAGTGAAAATATAATGCCAAAATGCTCTTATGAGTAGCTAGCCGTTATCTAGATCAAAAATGATTCACTGTAATCTCTCTCTTGCACTAAATTTTCTTCCCAATAAGTGTGCTATAAAGTATTACAGATGATCATGAGTTAGCTTTTTCTNAATTTTCTTCCCAATAAGTGTGCTATAAAGTATTACAGATGATCATGAGTTAGCTTTTTCTTATATAATAGCGTTTCTATTAAAATTTCCCTTCATTTCTTAAAAATTTCATATGTCCTGAGTATAGCAACATAAAATGTGTACATACACATATGACTTTTCCTTTTATTCACCTTTGTTTCAAAACTTTGTTTTGTTACTTTTGAATCTAGGAAATTCTATTCATATCTATTCTATTTGGGGGTCTAATACTTCCCGCATATAGTCCTACCTATATATATTAGCCTACAGAAGTTTAAAAAAATAACTCACAAATGTCTTTACAGCAGTTATCACACATTTTGTCACATGCTTCTGAGTTCCATACTTCATCAAAATGTTGAGCTATCAATACACGGCGACATCTGCAAACATTTATTTAGAGATATAAATTACTAAATGACCTAAGAAAGTTTTAAGAATCCTTATTTCAGGATATACAGTTATATTAGTTTTCTATAACTGCCATAGTATTACCACAACACATTTTTATTATCTTACATTTCTATAGAAGTCTAACAT